TAATGCTTAGTTGGAATGTTTTTTCCTGCAGTTGGACTCCATTGCTCTATGTCAGTGGTTCCCAGGGACAACTTGACCAGGGACCATTCGCCAACATTAGTACCAAAAGGGTTACGAATCAATTTTTGGTCAACTTTAGATTCTGTTTGGTGATTTGGGGTGCCAATTCAGAAAATTACATTGGATAGACCACATCAGCTCTAGTTTCTGATACAAAACATATGCCGTCCAATAGTTGCCACCTGCTTGCCCATAGAAAACCATATTTAATGATCTAGAGCTGATGTGGTAGTAGTAATCTTTAGTAGGTAATCAGCCTCTCCTCTCCCAACATCCCTGTTGCCTCAGCACTATAAGAGGGCTTCGCGAGACTAGTCACTCTCATTGCCATGTGATTTTGATGCATCTGAGAAGTAATGGTGAGGCTATGGACCATATTTTCATTCTTGTGGACCACTGGTGTTCCATGGACCACAAGCTGGGAACCACCAACCTACATAGAAGATAGTACAGTGGGCCCTTTGTATCCACTGGGCTTTGTTTCCAGACATCACCATTGCCTTGGCACTATAAAGAGGGTTTTGTGAGACCAGTCACTCTTGCCATGTGGTATCAAAGCAGCTGTATAGTAATGGTGGGGTCGTGGACCATATTTCGTTCTTGTGCTCCATGGATCACAGGTTGGGAACCACCGACCTACATAGAAGATAGTACAATGGGCCCTTGGTATCTACTTCACTGTGTTTCCAGGCATCCCCGTTGCCTCGGCACTATAAGAGGGTTTAATGAGCCCAGTCACTCTCACCACGTGGTTTTAAAGCAACTGTGTAGTAATGGTGTGGCCGCGGACCATATTTTCATTCTTGTGATCGATGGACCACAGGACGGGAACCACTGACCTACATAGAAGACAGTATCGTGAGCCCTTCGTATCCACTGGGCTTTGTTTCCATACATCTCTGTTGCCTCAGCACTATAAGAGGGTTTTGCGAGACTAGTCACACTCGTTGTTGCGTGGTTTCAAGACAACTGTGTAATAATGATGAGGCCGCGGACCATATTTTCATTCTTGTGGTCCATGGACTACAGTGCAGGTACCACTGGCCTACATAGAAGATAGTACAGTGGGCCCTTGGTATCCACTGGACTTTGTTTCCAGACATCCCCATTGCCTTGGCACTATAAGAGGGTTTTGCGAGACCAGTTGCTCTAGTTGTTTTGTGCTTTCAAAGCAATGGTGTAGTAATGGTGAGGCCGCGGACCATATTTTCGCTCTTGTGGACCGCCAGTTGTCCACAGACCACATGTTGGGCACCACTGTGCTATGTTCTACTTTCTGGAGCTGCAGAAAATAAGCTTGTTCCATCTTCAATATGACATCCTTTCAAAGACTGAAGCATAGCTATCATGTCACCTCTCCAAACTACACACACCCAGCTCCCCAAGTCTCTTCTCATAGAGCTTGGCTTCCAGATCTTTTGTTGCCTTTCTATGAATTTTTCCAGCTTGTCTTGAATTCTGGTGCCCACAACACAGTATTTCAAGTCAGGCCTGATCAAAGTAGAACGGAGTGGTACTATTCCTTCTCTTGTCCTGGACACTATGCTCCTGTTGGTGCAGCCTAGAATCACATTGACATTTTTTAATCTACTGTGTTCCACTATTGATTCATGTTCACTGAGTTGTTGTAGATTTCTTCGGGCTATATGCCCATGTGCTAGAGGCATTCTTTCCTGACGTTTCGCCTGCATCTGTGGCAAGCATCCTCAGAAGTAGTTAGGCCTGTTGGAACTAGGAAAATGGGTTTATATATCTGTGGAATGACCAGGGTGAGACAAAGGACTCTTTTGTCTGCTGGAGCTAGGTGTGAATGCTTCAACTGACCACCTTGATTAGCATTTGATGGCCTGGCAGTGCCTGGGGCAATCTTTTATTGAGAGGTGATTAGATGTCCCATATTGTTTCCTCTCTGTTGTTTTGCTGTTGTAATTTTAGAGATTTTTTAATACTGGTAGCCAGATTTTGTTCATTTTCATGGTTTCCTGTGGTGTTTTGAAAGTCCTTTTGGTTGCGAGAAATTGTGGGATGGTATCTGTGTCTCTGCAGCGTAGTAGGAAAGTCAGGGAGCACAATAGATGTGCTTTCCTGGTCCTTAGTTTTTGCAATTTTCATGTGTCTTGGAACAGTTTCTCCCCATAGAGATGTTCAATGTATTGTCGAAGGCTTTCATGGCCGGAATCACTGGGTTGTTGTAGGTTTTTTTGGGCTATATGGCCATGTTCTAGAGGCATTATCTCCTGACGTTTCGCCTGCATCTGTGGCAAGCATCCTCAGAGGTAGTTAGGCCTGTTGGAACTAGGAAAATGGGTTTATATATCTGTGGAATGACCAGGGTGGGACAAAGGACTCTTGTTTGCTGGAGCTAGGTGTGAATGTTTCAACTGACCACCTTGATTAGCATTTGATGGCCTGGCAGTGCCTGGGGCAATCTTTTGTTGAGAGCTGATTAGATGACTCATGTTCAGCTTGTGGTCTACGAAGATCCCTTTCACATGTACTTTTGTCAAGCTAGATGTCATCCATCTATAGTTGTGAATTTCATTTTTTTTACTTGAGTGTACCATACATTCCCTGCTTTCAAAATACTTAATGAGAAGCCTGACTGGAACCATGTCATTTGTTCACAGATGTTGTAAGCAAGATAAATGGTGGAAAACTGGGGTTTGGGGTTTTCTCTTACAAAACTGGCAACAGTTAGACACACCCTGCCTTGCGCCTGTAAAGAGTTCTGTCAACATGGATTGGGCAATAAAACATCTTCTGTTTGTTCCCACATTAATTGGAACATATGGTCTTCCGGTGAAGCTGGTGCCCAAGGAAAAAAAGACGGGCATTGTCCTTACTGCTAGCGGCTGGTTGCGGGTGGTTCAGTTAGACAACCAGTGGTTGCTTACTGTCTTTTTTCATTTCCAGATCATATTAGGAATTGCATAAGCGGGTGAGCGCTTGCACTAACAAATCCTCTGTGGAGGGAATAAAGGTATAATTGCAAGGACATTCAACCTGTTTGGGAAGGTAGCACAGACCTGCCTGAACAAATCCCGGAGTGTTTGGAGGATTTGCATTGAGAGAACTGTGCACAAAGACTATCCTGGCCCATTTGCATTCATTCAGCCTTTGGACAATTCAGTGCTCCAAAATCCTCATTTCCTGCTTATCCATGTTTTCAAATAAAGATATAGAAGTAACGTACTTCACAGGGCTGTTGTGAGAGTTCAAAAGTTGGAAAACACTGCCTGAACCAATTCAATTGTCCCCAAGTATGGAAACTGAATAAAAATAAATCCCTGATACTCATAGAATTGTTGAATTGGGAGAGACCTCATGGGCCATCCAGTCCAACAACCTGCAAAAAAGTAGGAAAATTGCATTCAAAGCACCCCTGACAGATGACCATCCAGCCTCTGTTTAAAAGCCTCCACTTCTCTCTGGGGCAGAGAGTTCCACTGCTGAACAGTTCTCACAATTACAGAGTTTTTCCTCATGTTCAGGTGAAATCTCCTTTCCTATAGTTTGAAGCCAGAGTTCCACATCCTCGTCTCCAGGGCAGCAGAAAATAAGTTTGCTCCCTCCTCCCTATAACTTCCCCTCACACACACACACACACACACAATCATACAGTTGGAAGAGACCTCATAGTCCATCCAGTCCAACTCCCTGCCTAGAAGCAGGAATATTGCATTCAAAGCACTCCTGACAGATGGCCATCCAGCCTCATGTCTCCTCTCAGCCTTCGTTTCTGCAGACTAAACATGCCCAGCTCTTTATGCTGCTCCTCATAGGGCTTGTTCTCCAGACCCTTGATCATTTCAATCACCCTTTCCTGGACACATTCCAGCTTGTCAACATCTACCTTCAATTGCTGTGCACAGAATTGGACACAGTGTGATTTCACGTGTGGTCTGACCAAGGCAGAATAAAGGGGTAGCATGACTTCAATGGATCTAGACACTAGACTCCGATTGATTAGGACTCACCTGTTTTCTGCTGCTCTGGAGATTAGGATGTGGAACTATGGTTTCAAACTGCAAGAAAGGAGATTCCACCTGAACATGAGGCAGAACTTCCTAACTGTGAGAGCTGTTCAGCAGTGGAACTCTCTGCCCTGGAGTGTGGGGGAGGCTCCTTCTTTGGAGGCTTTTAAACAGAGGCTGGATGGCCATCTGTCGGGGGTGCTTTGAATGCGATTTTCCTGCTTCTTGATAGAATGGGATTGGACTGGATGGCTCATGAGGTCTCTTCCAACTCTATGATTCTATCAGGACCTTGCTAACAGCTTGTTTATATTAACTTAAGTTGTACAGTGGGTTGTATGTTGTATGTGTTAAATGTGTTTGTCAAATGTTTTGATACAGCCAATTGACTAATCAATAAAGTGCACTACTAATTTTTTCAATGAATAGCTGATAAGAGTCTCAACCAATTTGTGGCAGCCACAAATAACGAAGTTTCTGGAGTCAAACAACTACTTTCAAAGCAAGTCTCGCACAATTAAACAGGAATAACACTCTCAAACCAAGAATGGAAATTTTGTTAGTGTTATGAAATCCCTTCTTCGGAAACCCTGGTTGTGTAATCTTGTCGAATGTGCTTAGATAACCACTTACTTCCACTTATGAAATCCCTTCTTCGGTAATTAATGTCATGAACAGATCCCAAGACAGACATATAAAGTTGTTGCACATTTTTCGGGCTGTATGACCATGTTCAAAAAGCATTCTCTCCTGACGTTTCACCTACATCTATGGCAGGCAGCCTCAGAGGTTGCGAAGTGACCTCACTACCTCTGAGGATGCCTGCCATAGATGCAGGCGAAATGCCAGGAGAGAATGCATCTGGAACATGGTCGTACAACCTGAAAAACTTACAACAACTTAGTGATTCTGGTCGTGAAAACCTTTGACAATACAGACACAAAAAGGCCGACAAGGCGAAGCCAATTACAATTTGGGCCAAATATTTTATTTATATATATAAAAGGAAAAATAAAATCATTTGTATTTTTTAAAAAAAGAAAAAAAAGCTTTTTAAATAAAAATGTGAAATGTTATGGCACGGGGACAATTATAAGTTCAGTTGCCACAACCTAACATTTTTGTAAAATTTTTCTATATAAAGATTTTTTTATTAAAGTTATATACATATTATTATTAGACTGTAAATATATTTACAAAAGATCCGGCAGCAACTTTTTTCTTTCTTTCTTTTTTTTTTTTTGTAAATCGTTTTTAAGAAAAAAAATGCTTTAAATAACGAAAAAAAAAAAAAGAAAGAAAAAAAGAAAGAGAGATAAAGTGAAAAAAAAAAATAGGTTTTTCGCCCAAGCATTGAACAAGAATTCCGCCCAAAGTTTTTAAAAAGTTCGAAGGCAGTTTTTCTGAGGTTCTGGACAAGGTTGTGTAGTTTCTGAGCATGCAACTGGAAAGAGTTCCATCATTCCTACATGGCTGAATCCATCAGTCCTTTCTTTCTTGGTTTGTTTTGTTTCCGTCTCAATGGCGCCTCTTTCCAAAGTCTACATCTGCCTTTCCCCACCCAGTCAAATGTTTATTACACTCTTGTTGCCTTTCGTGCTTTCACACACAAGAGTTCCTTAGCTGCTGAAGTTTGTTTTTCAGCTGCTCCTGCCGCCGCCGCAGCTGCTCTTTCTCCGCCAAGAGTTTGTGCTCGTCCTCCTGGATGGAGAGGACGTATTCGGTGGCCTTTTTCAGGATGACCACTTTGGGCGCCTTCTCGTTGTTGGCCACCTCCGGGATCTGGTCGCGCAAAGCGAAGAAGCTCAGCTTGAGCTCGTTCCGCCGCTGGCGCTCCAGGACGTTGTGCGTCCGCCGCTTGTCGTTCTCCTCCGAGTCCGAGGTGCGGGGGCTGGAGCATTTGCGGTTGTTGCTGATCTGCTTGAGGACCCGGCCACTGTCCAACTTTAGCCGCTTGGCCGCCGAATACTCGACGCGGGTTGAGGGAGGGGCGGCGTAGTTGTGCTGGTGGATGGGGACGTGGCAGCGCTTGAGGACCAGCGGGCTGTGGTGGTGCTTGCTGTGCCCCCGGGACGAGTGCGTGCTGGGCTCGGACCTCTTCGCCGCGGGCTGCCTCTTCTCTACCGTCACCACGTCGATTTCCTCCTCCTCCTCTTCTTGCTCTTCCTCCTCTTCTGCAGACAGAGAAAGGGAAAAAACAAGGATACATTAAGCTCTTTCATCTCCTGGAATATATTGTGCCGTTTCAACTACGGAAACGCTTATTGACTCACACCTATAAAGGAGGACACGCTGATCTTCATAGTACAATACTCTCTAATCTGAAAGCCACTCTCTTGGAGGGTTGAGGATGCAATTTCTTACACAACCGAACTAAGAGGGCTGTTAAGACCCAATTTTCTGCAGTGTATGACTCTGCAAAAAGCTGTTAAGTGGATCCGAAGATGCTTGAAATGATGGGGTTGCGTAACACTAAACAGTCAACCAAAGACAGCAGCCTGGTATTTGGACATGTTGACAAGAGAGGTGGGTTTCTGCTGCAGGGAACTGGATCGTATCTCCTAGTACTAGGAATATTGCAATCTGGAAGTGTTATCTCCCAAATGTTTGGGACTTTTAATTATTTCCCTGAACTCACTTTTACTTGGTAGGAGCCTCTCGTGATCCCTTGTGCCACCTGAACTGGTCAACTGAAAGATTGGTAGTAAACTCCTGTCTGTCGAGCTCTAGCTTCCCATGCAAGGACATGAGAGAAGCCTTCCACAGGATGGTAAAATATCAAACATCCACAGGTTAGCTGGTGTCTTTTGATTGGCTCCCTTCAGATCAAGTTTAGAGTGGCTTGAGAAACTGCAAGTCGCGTCTGGTGTGAGAGAATTGGCCATCTGCAAGGACATTACCCAGGGGACGCCCAGATGTTTTACCATCCCGTGGGAGGCTTCTCTCATGTCCCTGTATGGGAAGCTGGAGCTGACAAACGGGAGCTCACTCCTCTCCCAGGATTCGAACTGCCAACCTTTTGGTCGACCAGTTCAGCTAACAAGGGTGGTCCTCAACCTATGGGTCCCCAGGTGTTTTGGCCTACAACTCCCAGAAATCCCAGCAAATTTACCAGCTGTTAGAATTTCTGAGAGTTGAAGGCCAAAACATCTGGGGACCCACAGGTTGAGAACTGGTTTAACCCATTGCGCCACTGAGGAATCCTACCCAGTGGAAGTGAGTTCAGAAAATTATAATCCAAAACACATGGGAGAGAACACTAGGCTCTGCCAGATTGCAATATTCCTATGCACATTGGAGCACCATCAACAAAACTGTCATGTGTGCAACAGTTCTGTTCATACTTCTGCGCTGCTTGAAGGACAGTGAAGACTAACTAAATGCAGTGGCAGCTTCCACATAAATGGATCTGCTTCAGGATTTAGCCTGAACTTTACCAAGCCCCTTAGGGTACATTTACACTATAAAATTAATGAACTTTTACTACAATGGCTCAATGCTATGAAATCCTGAGAGTTGTAATTTGGTGAAGTACCAGCACTCTTTGGCAGAGATAACTAAAGACCTTACAAGACTACAATTGCGGTGATTCTGTAGCATTGATGCAGCTGAAGTGCATTAATCCCACAGTGTAGATGCACCCATAGCACCTCAAGCAGTTCAGACTGAAACCCAGAGCGGACCCATCACACACTTCCCTCTCTGGATCTGGAAATCACCTGTAACTTAATAGGAAATAGAAGATCCGGATTGTTGTGAGTTTTCCGGGCTGTATGGCCATGTTCCAGAAGCATTCTCTCCTGACGTTTTGCCCACATCTATGGCAGGCATCCTGAGAGGTTGTGAATTCTGTTGGAAACTAGGCAAGTGGGGTTCATATATCTGTATATATCTCAATCAGGGCCAGTTAACATCTCCCAAAAAGGGATTCCTGCAGGCAGGAAACAGCCAAGTTTTGAAGCTGCAAGGCCATTCAATGCTAATCAATGTGGCCAATTGCAACATTCACACTTGCCTCAAGCAGACAAGAGTTCTTTTTCCCACCCTGAACATTATTCTACAGATATATCAACAGTTTCCAAGAGACCTCACAACCTCTGAGGATGCCTGCCATAGATGTAGGAGAGAATGCTTCTGGAACATGGCCATACAGCCTGGAAAACTCACAGCAACCCAGTGATTCCGGCCATGGATGGCCGGAATCACTGGGTTGCTGTGAGTTTTCCAGGCTGTATGGTCATGTTCCAGAAGCATTCTCTCCTACATCTATGGCAGGCATCCTCAGAGGTTGTCCATGGAAGCCTTCCGACAACAAATAGAAGACCCATTTGCGTGACTTGGGATGAACAATGAGACTGCTCAAGGCAAAAGAGAGAAAGACTGCTGCAGCCGCGCCCAGGAGCTTAACCTACATAAAAATGCAGGCTTCAATTCCAGGAACACCTTTAGCACTCCATCCTCACCCCATTCCCAGCAGCCATTCCTCCCTGTGGATCAAGTTTTCGGGAACTGATGCCACAGACAAGAAGTTTGGTGAGTTGTGCTCTTAAGAGCAGCTGCAAGCCCCCTTTCGAGCCCTCCTTGATGCTCTCCTGACTCTTTCCCAGTCTCTGCAGGTCAAGCCAAGGGCAGGTTAAGATTAAAGGAATTCAAAAGTTCCCGCTCCTCCTCGCTCCAGAGGCCCGGTCTGACCCCATCAGTGAAACTTAAGCCGTCCAATCTTTTTTTCCCCCCTTTCCAGGAAATGGAATTCATGGGAAGCCCAGCCATGTGTGTCACTAATACGGTATTTAAAAAAAACAAAACAAAACAAAGTTTAACCCAACATGTATCTCCTTAGAAGTTAGCCATACTGAGTTCAATGAGACTCAATGGGATGGCATTGGATTTTCCTTTCAATCACACCAAGTTCAATGGGACTCAATGGGAAGACATAGGATTTTTCTTCCAACTATATCTAGTTCAATGGGAAGGCATAGGAGTTTCCTTCCAACCACACAAACTTCAATGGGACTCAATGGGAATGCATAGGATTTTCCTTCCAACTACATCAAGTTCAATGGGACTCAATGGGAAGACATAGGATTTTCCTTCCAACTATATCTAGTTCAATGGGAAGGCATAAGATTTTCCTTCCAACCACACAAACTTCAATGGGACTCAATGGGAAGACATAAAATTTTCCTTCCAACCACACCAAGTTCAATGGGAGAGATCTGGAAAGGCCAGCAGGACTGGAAAAGGTACACATGTGGAAATGTTGAGTGTTCATTTTCATCCCCAGTTAGCAGAATCAATAGTAAATAGTAGATTGTGCTGTGTATGACTACACTTCCTTCTATTACACTGGTCTGAATCTGATTGGTTGCTCTCAAAGCCATTGATTCAAGTTGTTGAATGGCACATGAATCCCATTGGTGCAATCAAACGAGTATAGTTTGTACTAACCAATAGGATCTGAGCAGGGAAGGGCTTCAATAAGCCAGCATTCATTGACTACACTGGCTGGGACTGATTGCATCCAATAATAATAAGAATAACAATAACAACTTTATTTTTATACCCCGCCAACCACCTTCCCTAGAGGACTCAGGGCGGCTTACAAGGAACAAGCCCAAAATTACAACTGAAAAACACAAGTAAAACACTTTAACCCAGTGGTTCTCAACCTGGGGTCCCCAGATGTTTTTTGCCTTCAACTCCCATAAATCCTAACAGCTGGTAAACTGGCTGGGATTTCTGGGAGTTGTAGGCCAAAACACTTGGGAACCCACAGGTTGAAAACCACTGAGAACCAGTTAAAAACAAATACAACACAATTATAATCAATATAAAAATAACATGGCTGTGAGAAAAGAACATCGCTGAGGTACAGATTCAATGAGGCTCTGGAGACACAATCCCAAACTAGGTGTGGTTAGAACAGGCTTGGGGACTCACAGGTTGAGACCCACTGCACTAAAGGGACCTGCAAGATCTGCATGTAGCAATTCAAATGGACTCTCCTGGCATTTCGCCTGCATCTATGGTAGGCATCTTCATAACCTCTGAGGATGCCAGCCATAGATGCAGACAAAACAGCAGGAGAAAATACTTCTGGAACATGGGCTGTTGTAGGTTTTTTGGGCTGTGTGGCCATGTTCTAGAAGCATTCTCTCCTGATGTTTTGCCTGCATCTATGGCGGGCATCCTCAGAGTTTGCGAGGTCTTCTGGAACATGGCCATGTTGTTGTTGTTGTTCATTCATTCAGTCGCCTCCGACTCTTCGTGACCTCATGGACCAGCCCACGCCAGAGCTCCCTGTCGGTCGTCACCACCCCCAGCTCCTTCAAGGTCAATCCAGTCACTTCAAGGATGCCATCCATCCATCTTGCCCTTGGTCGGCCCCTCTTCCTTTTACAGCCTAGAAAACTCACAACAACCCATTACCGCAGTGGTTCTCAACCTGGGGTCCCCAGATGTTTTTGGCCTACAACTCCCAGAAATCCCAGCCAGTTTACCAGCTGTTAGGATTTATGGGAGTTGTAAGGCCACAAATATCTGGGGACCACAGGTTGAGAACCACTGCATTACCAGTTCTGGTCTTCCTTCTATCAAACAGCAACTCCATAGAATTTACTATGTGCTCAGATCAAGCTGAATCAAGAAGCCATCACCTTTCCTCAGCAGAGTAAATGCAGTGTGGTGGGGCCTTTGGTCTTATTGTTATTAAGTCAATCCAGTCTAGAAAGCCATGTACTCAGAAGCTAGATACTCACCGGAATCACTGCTGGTGTTGGGCGGTGTGTCTAAGAGTATCGCCACTGAGTGGACTTCTGGGGAGATGGGCTCTTCCTCCTCCTCCTCGATTTTGGGGGTTTTCTCTGCCAGAGGGTAAGGGAAGACCACAGAGGGGTCGATGCAGTCCGCAGCAGAGGCGCCCAGGTCTTGCAGGTAAGTGGGCGAAGAGGAGGTCGATGAAGACGAACAGGAGGAGGCGGTGGACGATGGGGATGCCTGTGGAGAGCTGGGCGATGTGCTGCCGGTGCTGCCACCCCTGCTGTGTACTGCGCTGTTGATGCCGCCGTCCCTCCGTGCGGCTTGGTAGGAGGCCAGCTTCTCGGAGACCACCTTCTGGAGCTTGGCGGCAGCCGAGACACCGCTCCACATGCAGTCCTGGATGATGATGGACTTCACGAAGGCGTCGTCGTCCGGGTCGCAGATGAAGCTCTGGTTGACGGCGTCGCTGCCCAAGAGCTCGGTCACCATCTCAAGCTGGTCAGCGCTGGAAGGGAAGCAGCCACCCCCGCGGCGGCTGGGCGACAAGGGAGGGGTGGGCAGCAGCTCGAACTTCTTCCAGATGTCCTCCGAAGGGGCCGGCGGCTGGAGCTCGCAACCTCGGTGGTGGGCCGACAGGTAGAAGTTCTCCTCCTCATCCTCGAAGTAGAAGTAGGGCTGGACCGAGTCATAGTCATAATCATAAGTCCGGCTCGGAAAACTCGGCCCAGTGAGAGGCATCGTGGCGGCGGATGATGGTGGCGGCGCCTAAGAGCGAGAGGAACAAAACCCAGCCAGGGTCTGGTTAGTGGCCTGAATTGGTCCTGCCCTTGGGGAGTCAAAAAGGGTGGGATTCGCTTCCCCTTCCTTCCAACCCCATTTCCACCCATACCTACCACCACCTTTTAATCATTTGTGAAATCTATATAAATAAAAATGTAATGTTCGTTTGTGGGATTAACAGAACTCAAAAACAACTGGACAAATTGACACCAAATTTGGACACAAGACACCTAACAACCCAATGTATGTCCTTCACTCAAAAAATGGATTTTGTCATTTGGGAGTTGTAGTTGCTGGGATTTATAGTTCACCTACAATAATCAAAGCGCATTCTGAACCCCACCAACGATTAAATTGAACCAAACTTGGCACACAGATCTCCCATGACCAACAAAAAATACTGGAAGGGTTTAGTGGACAGTGTCCTTTGGTTTTGGAGTTGTAGTTCACCTACATCCGGCGATCACTGTGGACTCAAACAGTGATGGATCTGGACCAAACTCTACACAAATACTCAATTTGCCAAAATGTGAACACTGGTGGAGTTTGGGGAAACTAGAATCTTGACATTTGGGAGTTGTAGTTGCTGGGATTTATAGTTCACCTACAATCACAGAGCATTCTGAACCCCACCACTGATAGAATTGGGCCAAACCTCCCACAAAGAACCCCCATGTGTGCCACAGCAATGTGTGGCAGGGGACGGCTAGTGTGTGTGTATATATATAGATATATATGTGTGTGTGTGTGTATGCATGTATATATATATGTATGTATATGTGTGTGTGTGTGTGTGTGTATATATATATATATGGTGGAATTTAGTCCTGCCATGGCTCAATGTTTTGGATCATGGGAGTTGCAGTTTGCATGCTCTCTAGCCTGTCCAAGGCTGAATCAGTGCTATGCTTCCCACCTTTGGGAGTCAAAAATGTCCTGCCACAGCTCAGGATCATAGTATCATGGGAGTTGCAGTTTGCATGCTCTTTAGCCTGTCCAAGGCTGATTCAATGCAATGCTTCCCACCTTTGGGGAGTCAACAAGGTCTTGCCATGAATCAGTGCTATAGTATTGTGGGAGTTGCAGTTTGCAAGCTCTTTAGCCAGTCCAAGGCTGAATCAGTGCTATGCTTCCCACCTTTGGGGAGTCAAAAAGGGTGGGTTTTGCTTCCCCTTTCTTCCAACCCCATTTCCACCCATACCTGCCACCCCCTTTCAATCATTTGTGTAATTAAAACCTTAAGATATATATATATATATTAAAAAGATGGAATTTGGTCCTGCCATGGCTCAGTGTTACAGTATCCTGGGAGTTGCCGTTTGCATGCTCTTTAGCCTGGCTCTTCCCTCATTGGTGCCGCTTTACCTGCCATGCCTCATTGCTATAGGCTTGCAGTTTTGGAGAGGCACCAACAGTCTTTGGCCAAACTCCTGTGATTTCATAATTGCGAGGCACAGTGGTGTCAAACTGCATTCATTCTACATTACAGACCAGGCATGGGCAAACGTTGGCCCTCTAGGTGTCGGGAATTGTGGGAGTTGAAGTCCAAAACATCTGGAAGGCTAAAGTTTGCCCATGCCTGCTATAGACACAGTCTTAGTCATAGAGGAGCAGCTTTCTGGACAGTCAAAAGAGTGCTTTGTACAATGACTGCAGCTTGACACCACTTTTAAATGTGATGGTTCAATGCTATGGAATCATGGGAGTTGTAGCTTGACAAGGTCTTTCACCTTCTGTGCCTCTTCAAACTACAAATTCCAAGATTCTATAGCATTGACAATCAAACTGCAATCATTCCACAGAAGACTAGGGCAAACTTTGGCCCTCCAAGTGTTTTGGACTACAACTCCCACAATTCCCAACTGTTAGGAATTGTGGGAGTTGGAGTCCAAAATACCTGGAGGACACTGTAGAGCAGGATTGGGCAAACTTGGGCCTTCCAGATGCTTTGGACTACAACTCCCACAATTCCTAACTGTTGGGAATTGTGGGAGTTGAAGTCCAAAACACCTGGAGGACCAATCTACACTGTAGAACAGGACTGGGCAAACTTGGGCCTTCCGGGTGTTTTGGACTACAACTCCCACAATTCCTAACTGTTAGGAATCGTGGGAGTTGAAGTCCAAAACTTCCTAACTGTTAGGAAGTTGATGTCCAAAACACCTGGAGGGCCAATCTACACTGTAGAGCAGGCATGAGCAAACTTGGGTCTTCCAGGTATTTTGGACTACAACTCCCACCATTCCTAACTGTTGGGAATTGTAGGAGTTGAAGTCCAAAACACCAGGAGAACTAATCTACACTGTAGAGCAGGATTGAGCAAACTTGGGCCTTTCAGGTGTTTTGGACTACAACTCCCACCATTCCTAACTGTTAGGAATTGTAGGAGTTGAAGTCCAAAACACCAGGAGAACTAATCTACACTGTAGAGCATGCATGAGCAAACTTGGGCCTTTCAGATGTTTTGGACTACAACTCCCACCATTCCTAACTGTTAGGAATTTGTGGGAGTTGTAGTCCAAAACACCTGGAAGGCCCAAGTTTGCCCATGCATCTGATTCTAAGGGTATATAAAAGCCTATTTATATTTTAGATATTTATTTATATTATTTACTATATATTTATGTATAGAGTGTCTACAGCTTCTTAAATGGACTTAAATATACTTCCTCCCACAAACAATACAAGAGAAGGCAAGTCGGTTGAAATGTAGGACAACAGTGGAAACGCCGGTGGCGGGGTTCGAACTCGCGACTTCCCAGGAGCCACCTTAAGGGGGAGAGAGAGGGAAAAAAGCGAGAGTGGAGCGCCTACCGCGGCGCGCCACCGCCTCCTCCATAGACTCGCAGCGTCTCCTTCCCGCTTTTCTGCAGTCCCGCCTCTTTCTCTCTCTCTCTCTCTCTCTCCGCCCGGAGGGAGTTCGCTCTGTCTACGGCAAGCCTGAGCTGCGGATCCAAGGGCGAGGAGGCGCCACTCGGCCCGGAACCCGCCTCCCYTCCTCCCAAAGGGAGACACACACAACACAATCACACCATTCCTTGGGTTGCTGTGAGTTTCCCGGGCTGTATGGCCACGTCCCAGAAGCATTCTCTCCTGACGTTTCGCCTGCATCKWMGATGCAGGCGAAACGTCAGGAGAGAATGCTTCTGGGACGTGGCCATACAACYTACAACCATCGCCTTTAACGCGGTACTAAACTGCGTTCATTCCGCAGAGTAGACGCCCTCCTCTAGGAGGAGATCCACGCCCACTATATGGGGAAAACCCGAAATGATCCGGATTTAAACTTCCCGGGGGTGAGAAACGGCGCAAGGCAATCCCCGGTCCAAATTAAAACCACATTGGGGGTGCGTCTACACTACAGAACTAACCCGCTTTGATACCAGTCCCCATTGTCATGCCTCAATGCGGTATCTCAACAAGGACTTTAAACCTTTCAGACCCGGTTCGAGTTAAAACCGCATTGGGGTTGTTTTGAGTGCGTCCACACGGCGGAATTAACGCGCTTTGATACCATTTCCACTGTCATGCACTCAACACGGGCTTCAGCCTTTCAGTCCCGGTTCAAGCTAAACCCCCATTGGGTTGTTTCTGGGTGCGTCTACACTGCAGAATTAACGCGCTTTGACACCGCTCAACACTGTTCTGTCTCAATGCGGCATCTCAACAAGGACGTCAACCTTTTAGACCCGGTTCAAGTTAAACCCGCATTAGGTTTCCTTTGAGTGCGTCTACACTGCAGAATTAACGCGCTTTGATACCACTTCCACTGTCATTCAGTCAACGAGCACTTAAACCTATCAGACCCGGTTCAAGTTAATACAGCATTGGGGTTGTTTTGGGTGCGTCCACATTGCAGAATTAACTCGCTTTGATACCACTTCCACTGTCACGCACTCAACACGGACTTCAATCTATCAGACTTCAACCTTTTAAACCCGGTACAGTTAAACCGCATTAGGTTTCGAGTGCGACTACACTGCAGAATTAACGCGCTTTGATACCACTTCCACTATCATGTACTCAACACGGACTTCAACCTTTTAGACCCGGTTCAAGTTAAACCCGCATTGGGGTTGTTTTGGGTGCGTCTACACTGCAGAATTAAAGCGCTATAACACCGCTCCCCACTGTCATGCCTCAAAACAGTAGCTCAACCAGGACTTTAAACCTTTCAGACACGGTTCAAGTTAAACCCGCATTGGGGTTGTTTTGGGTGCGTCTACACTGCAGAGTTAACCCGCTTTGACACCGCTACCACTGCCATACCTCAATACAGTAGCTCAACAAGAACTTTAAACCGTTCAGACCCGGTTCAAGTTAACCCCGGGTTGTTTTGGGGTGCGTCTACACTGCAGAATTAACCCGCTTTGACACCGCTCCCAATGCTGTAGTTCAACAACCTTCCCTGACCAAAAACGACAAACCCCTCTTTTCTCATAGCAGTAAGTCAAAATGTTACGAAACCGCGTTAACCTTCCAGTGTAGATGCCCCAATTCAGAAGTCCCGCCACTCCGTTGAGAAGACCAACCTCCCATCCGCACGGGAACACAACCAAACGAAGCCATACTCCGGATCTGACTCCACTTACCGGTTCCTCCCAAATCCCGGCCAGCAAAGCGGATCGGGCTCGAATCGAGCTCAAAAAAATAGAGGCAAAAATCAATCAATCCCAGGCGTGGAGAAAGTCCGGGGCTTTCGGAGCGCTCACATCGGTTGTAGAGTCCCAATTGAGGTGTGTAGACAGAACCGGCGCGACTCCGGATTTCTTAGAAAGGCGTCCCAAAGCCGGGTTGGCCAACAGCGGGGGAGCCTGCAACGTCTCGGCGGAGGAAACCAATCCCTTCCCCGCTCCTTTCTCCTTCTCCCTCCTCCTCCTTCTCACAGATCCTTCCTCCACTAAGAGCCAAGCGGCTTTGACGGCTCTAGCCGGTGCGAATCCCCCTTTTATACCTCTCCCCGGCGGGAAGCCCCGCCCCCTTTCGCCCTTTTTCCCGCCAAACAAGCCGCGTCCGCCCGGCTCATTTCCATAGGAGCAGGCGGCGCCTTTCTTTTCTCTCTCTCTCTCTTTCCCCCTCCCTCGCTTTGGAATGATAATAGTGACGGGAGGGGGGAAAAAAGAGGAGGCGAGGCCACGCCCACTTACCCCGAGGGAAGGGGCGTGACTCGGATGACCGCGACCCTCTCCTTTTTCCTTCTCTCTCTCTCTCTCTCTCTCTCTCTCTCTCTCTCTCCCCCCCCCCCCACTTTTGACTTCAATGCACCCAAGAGCTGGGCTAAGCTACTATTGAGGTGGAAGAAACCAATTTGGGTTGGGGGGCGAAAGGGAAGGTTGTAGAATGGGAGAGCTCACTGAAGTCCTGACATATGTGTATATGTTTGTATTACTTCTCTTTCTCTCCCCCCGCTTCCGACTTCAATGCACCCAAGAGCTGGGCTAAGCTACTATTGAGGTGGAAGAAACCAATTTGGGTTGGGGGAGAAAGGGAAGAGATCACTGAGGTTCTGGCATGTGTGTATATGTTTGCATTACTTCTCTCCCCACCCCCCCGCTTCCGACTTCAGTGCACCCAAGACCTGGCTAGGCTACTATTGAGGTGGAAGAAACCAACTTGGGTAGAGGGGATTTCCTTCCCCCCCCCCCCCCTTTCGACTTCATTGCACCCAAGACCTGGCTAGGCTACTATTGAGGTGGAAGAAACCAATTTGGGTTGGGGGAGAAAGGGTAGAGATCACTCAGGTTCTGGCATGTGTGTATGTTTGTATTATTCCCCCCCCCGCTTCCGACTTCAGTGCACCCAAGACCTGACTAGGTTACTATTGAGGTGGAAGAAACCAACTTGGGTTGAGGGGATTTCCTTCTCTCTCCCCCCCCCCCCGCTTTCGACTTCATTGCATCCAAGACCTAGGCTCAACTACTATTGAGGTGGAAGGAACCAACTTGGGTTGGGGGGGAAGGGAAATATTGTAGAAATCGAGAGATCATTTATATGTATATGTTTGTATTGTTACTATTACTTCTTTCTCCCCCCCCCCCTTCCGACTTGAATGCACCCAAGACCTAGCTCAGCTACTATTGAGGTGGAAGAAACCAACTTGGGGGGGGGGGAAGGTTGTAGAAAGCAAGAAATCATTGAAGTCCTGGCATGTGTGTATATGTTTGTATTGTTACTATTACTTCTTTCTCCCCCCCCCCCCCTTCCGACTTCATTGCACCCAAGACCTGGCTAGGCTACTATTGAGGTGGGAGAAACCAAATTGTATTGGGGGGGGGGTTTAAAAGGGGAGAGATCACGTGTATGTGTGTATTATTATTATTATTATTACTGCTATTACTGTTCGTATTATTACTATTAGTTCTCTCCCCCCTTCCGAATTACTACTGCTATTATTGTTTGTATTATTACTATTACTTCTCCCCCCCCCCCCTTTCCGACTTCAATGCACCTAAGAGCTGGCTACGCTACTATTGAAGTGGAAGAAACCAACTTGGATTGGGGGGGGAGGTTGTAGAAGGGGAAAGAAGAGGTCCTGGCATGTGTGTATATGTTTGTATTATTACTATTACTACTACTATTGTTTGTATACTATTATTACTCCTCGTATTATGTGTATGTTTACCTCCTTATTAGGATGGAAAAAACCACATTTAGTGGGGGGGGGGGGGGAGGGGTGTTAAAAATTTGGGGGGGGGGGGTCTGTTGGTGCATGAATATAATTGAATATATTGACTGGGACTTATGGGGGGGGGTTGCAAATAGGGGGAAAAGAACACTGATGTCCTTTTGTATTCTTTTGTGTATCACTTTCCCTTTATTTGGATGGAAGAAACCAAGTTGGGTGGGGGGTTACAAAATGGGAGAGACAACACTATGGTTTGTGTGTGTATTTGTGTATATATGTATGTATGTATGTATGTATATTATACAGGATAGGATAAAAGTCACAAAGGCATCTGATGTTTTAGTAACTTTTTGGGGGGGTGGGGGGGGGGGAGAGGAAAAAACACATTTTATGCATAATGTACTTTAATGTCCAATGTGTGCTGTATAGTATTGCAAATCTAAATTAAAAATAATTATTAAGCATACACCCATTTTGTGTCTGTGTGTGGTTCCCTCCTAGTCCACTTTTATTGGGATGGAAGAAACCAAGTTGAGTAAAAAGGGGGGTTTGCAATGGAGAGTACTCAGATCCTTGTGTATGTGTATCAAATATCAATATATAGGTGTGCATATAAATATGTATGAAAGTATGCATGTGTATATATGTATACAAGAGGTTTCTCTCCCCTCCTCTTTTGTCCGCACTGCGCGGCTGCTATTACCTGAATCTTCTCCTATTTCTGCCTATTAACATGGTGCATTATAGAGCAGTGTAGATGAGGCTGGGGAAGGGGAGAGGTCTTGGTAGAGGGGCTTTGTCTCCCTTTTTGTTACTATTGCATAAAATGCAACTTAGGAGTGGGTGCATCTACACTGTGGAATTGTTGCAGTTTGAAACCGCTTTAACTGCCATGGCTCAAATCCCAGGAGTTGTATAGTCTTTCAAGGTTTCCATCCTTTCTTGCCAAAGAGACCCAACTACAACTCCAGGGATTGTATTGCAAAGGGCTATTGCAGTTAAGTGGTATCAAAGTGGGTTAATTTCACAGTGTAGAAGCACCTTTGGAGAGGTTTTATTGGGCTCATGGTTTATTCATAGACTTGGGTTCAATCTCCACTTAGCCAGGGAGATTGAAAGCATACAAAAAGCCAAGATACAAGTTCAAATAAAGGAAATTGATATAAGTTAAAGCATTATTTAAAAAAAACACTACAATGTGTTCCAAGCCTGTATACAAACCTTCAAAACCTTGCAGAAGGGTTTACTCACTACCTCTGAGGATGCTTGCCATAGATGCAGGCGAAACGTCAGGAGAGAATGCCTCTAGACCATGGCCATATAGCCCGGAAAAACCTACAACAACCCAGTTTACATGACCTTAAGCAGAGACACTTAAAGTAGTTTCAGACCACATTGCTTCTACAGTGTAGACAGAAACAGATGTGAAGACTGCGACTCCCATTATCCCTCATCCTTGAGCAAAATCTGGAAGCTGGTCCAATTCTCACCTTTCGAGGGCCTCTCAGTGTTCCCGGACTGGGTCAATCCGAAACCCAAATGGTCCCGATGAAACCTGTTTGGAAACAATAGCCTTGATAGAAATGCAAATACACTCACTGCCTTGGAAGTGTTTGCTATTATAAGCACAGGGGAGAGGCCTTATCAGATTAGCCCGGCCAGGTGAGAAAAGAGGACTTGGAGCGTTGACTCTTGATTCAATCATGGGCTTGTAGAGTCCAGAGGGAGCCCTGAAGGCCATCTAGATGGACCCTCATCGGTGCAAAAAGGTCTTGCTAGTCATTTTGGTTCGATTGCATCAAAATACACTAGACCACCAAAAAAACCCAGAGATAGGTTTGCTTTAGGGTTATCCTAAGTCTGAAATGACTTGAAGGCACTCAGCAGCAACAATGCAGGAGCTGTTAACTTCTTTTAAATAGTTGTTACGATCCACACCTGGACCAAACCAATTCAAGGACAGCAAACTCAGCATCCCTAAAGGGGAGTGGGTGGGGAAAGCGAAGGAGGGGTTTTAAACAGGATCAGAAGGGCAAAAGAGGGTGCATTTTGAAACCAGTTTCATGTAGGGTGACCCATTGGAAAAACAAAACAAAGCATTGATCCCCATCCTGAATAGAGAGACATACCTCTGGATAACTCTCAGACTTCACTGAGAAAACAAAAGAAAAACCTTTAGTGGGTTGTTGTAGGTTTTTACGGGCTATATGGCCATGTTCTAGAGGCATTTTCTCCTGACGTTTCGCCTGCATCTATGGCAAGCATCCTCAGAGGTAGTGACAACCCAGTGATTCTGGCCATGAAAGCCTTCAACAATACAAAAACCCTTAGGTTTGTTTACCTCATATCATTTGGAAAATGCAATTTAGGAATTGGTTGAAATTATATTATTTTTTTGGTGTGATTTTATTAGGTTCAGCCCCAATTGCTGAAGTTTGTAAGGCTTCAAAGGTGCTGAGAAGGGGCAAGATTGTTTTCTTCTATTCCGGAGACTATGGCCCCTTCTACACTGCCGTATAAAATCCACATTATCTGATTTGCACTGGATTATATGGCAGGGAGCCTCCGGTGGCACAGTGGGTTAAAGCACTGAGCTGCTAAACTTGTTGACCGAAAGGTCGCAGGTTCGAATCCAGGGAGCGGCGTAAGCTTCCGCTGTCAGCCCCAGCTTCTGCCAACCTAGCAGTTCGAAAACATGCAAATGTGAGTAGATCAATAGGTACTGCTCCGGGGGAAGATAACAGTGGTCCATGCAGTCACGCTGGGTGGTGGTGCAGTGGGTTAAACCCCTGTGCTGGCAAGACTGAAGACCGACAGGTCGCAGGTTCGAATCCGGGGAGAGGCAGATGAGCTCCCTCTACCAGGTCCAGCTCCTCAAGCAGGGACGTGAGAGAAGCCTCCCACAAGGATGATAAAACATCAAAACATCCGGGCGTCCCCTGGGCAGCGTCCTTGCAGACGGCCAATTCTCTCACACCAGAAGCGACTTGCAGTTTCTCAAGTCTCTCCTGACACGACAAAATAATAATAATAATAATTAAAAAAAAAAAAACCTTGGAGGTGTCTATGGACAACTCCGGCTCTTCGGCTTAGAAATGGAGATGAGCACCACACCTCAGAGTCAGATATGACTGGACTTAATGCCAGGGGACAACCTTTACCTTTACCTATATGGCAGTGTAGACTCATATAGGAGGAGTCGTGGCGCAATGGGTTAACCTCTTGCACCAGCTGAACTGCTGACCTGAAGTTTGTTTTGAATCCGGGGAGCGGGGTGAGCTCCCTCTGTCAGCTCCAGCTTCTCATGCTGGGACAT